TATGTTTAAAAGGGGAATTATTTTCCAAATGTGTTTTCTGAAAATTGGCCTAACTAGTTTTTCTTAAACAATTTTTGTTATTAACATAGCTGTACATATCTGCCAAACACATAGCTTTGAATTACATTGTACTTCTAACATTAAAAATTATTTCCCCTTTTAAACATATTTCTTTCAGCACAATGTCAGTGCATTGCATGTTGCCACCCAAAATGGACACACACCTTTGGTCAGATTTCTTATCAGTCGTAATATTGATCTGGATGCTCAGTCTCAGGTGACTTTTTGTTATTATTATTTTCTCATATATCATATCCCTGACATTTCTTGACATTCTCTGAAAGTGATGATAGCTGCAGCTATGCATAATTCAAGACATAAAAAGAGAAGAACCACAGTCTGCCTAAATCAATTAAGCATTCTATTTTCAGTTTTGCTGAGTGAATATTAAAAGATGCATCACTTTGAAATAAATATAAATAAAATAAATATAGGTAAAATGTTTAGCTGGAGGAATTGTCCCTTAACATTTTTATAAATACCACATATCTACCTTATATATTTGCTACAGTTGCAAGAGATTCTTTTGCAAATAAATTTGGGTGATGTGCTTGCACCTGTTTTAGCAGTGCAACAAATATTAGAATAAAAAGTACTCATCCTCCTCATTTGAAAACCCATCACAGAATTTAACTATAAAAAGGTACATGATGAAAGTTTTGTGCAAACAGCAATAGCTGTGATTTGAAGAAAGGCTGAATGAAATTAGTTTTTAAAAACCTGGATTTGAAACATGGGCAGGGCAAATTCAGCATATATATTTTTTAATAAAAAGAAGTAAAAGTTGTAAACAGCACAACAAACAGTCACTGTGCTTGTGTGACGAGATACATCATATGCAAATAATTAAGAGATTTTCTATAATTTAACAAAATAGCAAAAAAAAAAGTTGATTGGCAATACTGATCTTCTAACAAGAACATTAAAGAGAAGAAGACTTTTAGCAATTTATATACTGCTATGTTACTTCGGAACTAAATAATCCTAATTTATTTAGGACTGTAGCCAAATAGTCTGTATCAGAGATGTCTACAAAGAGAACTCAAAAAAGTCAAGATGGCCACAGTCATGTGATCAAAACCTTGCCTTGCGCTTGTGCCGCATGGATATTAAAAAGGGTGTTTCAGTTGCATAGTTGTGATCATCATCTTGACTTTTTTGACCTCCTCTTGGAGGACAGCCTTGATCTACTCTATGATGTTCCAAAAACTCTATCACCAGCATGTTAGACATACCATGGGAGAAGTTTGTTGAATATCTGAAATTAAAATATCTATGATCAAGAGAGAGGTATTTCTATCATGTTTGAAATAAAGCTCGAGTTTTGTAGTGGATATAGTACTCATAAAGTTCAATGGCTAGCTTAAAATAAGCCTTTCCATTTGAATAGTGGCTTTTAGTGGAATAATGGAAATCTTGAATAACCTTATTGGAATAATATACCTGATTTGTTAATAGAGATATTCATCATCTTTTAAAACTTTTCGACCTGGTCAAGCATGATTTCTTATGAATAAATTGTATACTTTCATGATGTTATTTCTCCTCTCTTTACAGAAAAATAATTCTCCTCTACATTTGGCTATCACAAAAAACAATTTATCAGTGATCAATAGTTTAATAAAGGCAAACCATAACATAAATTGCCTAAATAAGGTAAGAAATTCCTATTAGAATCATATAAGTTGAATATTGGTCACAATATTTTTGTGTGTGTTTGTATGTGTAAATATTATAATGCTGATATTAACATATCAGCATTATAATTTGATGTATGGCTTGGCTGCTCATTGTCCATGCTACTGCCTTTGACTTCAACTCTCATATTTCCATGAAACCAATACAACCCCACCCCCATCCCCCCGACACAAAATTACCGGGAAAATAATCCTTGAATTTTTAACAAAAGTAAAGAGAAAATCTCTATTTTCGAAATTCGGCTTCTTAGCTCCTGAGACATCTAGCTATTTTTCTTAATTTCCACATAAATACATACAGAGAAGCAAACAACAACATTGCCATATTTATTTTTAGAAAAAGTTTAAATAATGTGTTTATTCTGTTTTTTAAAATATTCCAGAATATTTTAGGCAGAAATTAATACATATAAACAATTATAATTAAAAAAAAATACAAATACGGATTTGGATGGGTACACATTTGGAATGAAATTGGATGGGAGCAGTGGTGAAGTTTAATTTTTTTTACTACTGGTTCTGTGGGCGTGGCTTGGTGGGCATGGCAGGAAAAGGATACTGCAAAATACCCATTCCCTCTCCACTCTGTGGGGGGAAGTATATTGCAAAATATCCATTCCCACCCCACTCTGGGGCCAGTCAGAGGTGGTATTTGTCAGTTCTCCGAACTACTCAAAATTTCCGCTACTGATTATCCAGAACCTGTCAGAAGCTGCTTAACCTGGAGACAGGGACTGCCATTGAGAAAATGCACTGCCTGGTCCATATATCTCTATATTTACAAGAAGAGGAAACTTGCAACAGGACTTGAGCCAAACCTATTCATTGCCATATTAATTCCATTCTTTGCATGGTGTAAATATTAATTTCTTTGTTACATTTTTCTAATGCAAAAGATTTCTGAATAATATTATCCTTTACATCTACAAGAGACATCAAACACCTTTACATCTGGCAGCAGACCTTGGAAATGTGGAAATAATAGAAACGCTGCTAAAGGCAGGCTGTGACTTCAGCATGGTAGATAAGGTATTCATGATTCTATTAAAGTGCATTTCTCCTGCATGTCTTGGTTTGGTTTTTAGATTATCCCTTATTAAAATAGAATCCTTGATTTAGGTTATCCCTTAAAACTTGCAACAGAGATAATGGAATAAGACCTGTGGTGTCAGACATAAAATAACAGTACTTGTTCTTTGTATTTGTGACATAAAGTAGTATAGGTAATCCTCGAGTTACAACTGTAAGGGAGCCTGCCCGTTATGATTGAAAGTTGGGTGGACAGTTAAGTGAACGTTAAGTTAATCTTAATGAAATCCCCTCTGTGCTCTCCCAAATGCCTTTGTTAAATGAACACATGGGTTGTTAAGTGGAAAATTGGTCTTCTAAATCTAAGTAGCCGAATTCTATAGTTATAAGACTTCCCATTACAGAACACCATTCTTAACATTTTGACTACATTCACCCGGCATACTTAACTGGGGTATCAAAATGATTCATTTCCTAGAATCACACACTACCTTAAGTATGAACTAATCAAACATGTCAGGTTGCATTACATCAAAATCAAATCAAAGTTAAATTTACCAAATTTAATCATGTCCAGTGAGTGAGACCATTAGGTTTTGTTTATCCAGGTTAAAGATGTTGTGTGAACGCCGCCTTTGTGGATTATGAGCATGATGATAGGTGATGCAACAGTCATGTCTGCAGCCTTGATTTTCTTTACTTACCCAAAAGCAGATTTAATTCCAGCTTTGTTAACATTATAGCTGCCTAGATGAGACTGTCTACAGGAAAATGAAATAAACCCTGTGCAACTTGAGAAAGCAGGTCATTCATTAGATCTTTGTAAGGGACATCTTAAAGCAGTGCATCACTGCAGATAATTGGTTGGGCTTTGACTAGGGAGATTGGAGTCCAAACCCTTGCTTCCACCATGAATTATCAATTAGCCATTGGTAGGCCATCAATATTTGTTACCGTTAACTTCTTTGTGATATATTTATGAAACTCCTTTAGCAACCAAAAGAGACAGGTAAATGGATAAACTAATAACTTTTTAGGCTTTATTTGAGAATTGAATTAAGTTGAAAAATAGGGATTAATCAAATATTAGTGTATGTTCCCAGCACAGTAATTTTACCATGAAGTCAGGGTGCTGCAATGAATCCAAAATTTGGGCAGCTGCAAGAGAGAGAAGACCCTAGAAATGAGATTGTTCCATTTCTCTATTCTCTTCTGAGGCTTCTGGGATTTTTTTTTCTGTTTCAGAATGTATTCAGAAAGAGGGAAATTATTTTGACAAGTAAAACAGCTAGTCTAAATATTTTTCAGAGGAGTTTGCAGGGGGAATGCAAAAAAAAAAAAAGCCAGAATATTGGTCAAAGTAGCACAAAATCTTTTTAGGTGTATGCAATGTCACACCGATATTAAAAAGGGGTGGAACTTTGATGTGTTCAATTCTGTGCCCCTGCTATCATTAACAAGACTGGTTACTATCTGCAACAGAGGCAAATTATTGTGAAGTGATAGAAGGATTTCCCTGATGGTGGAAAAAACAATCACTTACTGTATTTTTTTGAATATAAGACGCACCGAAGTATAAGACGCACCAAGGTTTTTAAAAGGCCAATTTTTAAAAAAGTAGGTAGGAAGAGAGAGGGATAGACAGGGAGAGAAATACAATAGGTAGGTAGGGAGAGAGTAGGTAGATAGGTAGATAGAGAGAGAGAAATACAGTAGGTAGGTAGGGGGAGAGAGTAGATATGTAGGTAGGTAGATAGAGGGATAGACAGGAAGAGAAATACAATAGGTAGGTAGGGAGAGAGTAGGTAGATAGGTAGATAGAGAGAGAGAAATACAGTAGGTAGGTAGGGGGAGAGAGTAGATATGTAGGTAGGTAGATAGAGGGATAGACAGGAAGAGAAATACAATAGGTAGGTAGGGAGAGAGTAGGTAGATAGGTAGATAGAGAGAGAGAAATACAGTAGGTAGGTAGGGGGAGAGAGTAGATATGTAGGTAGGTAGATGTCTCCAGGTGTATTTCTCCATGTGCTGGAGAAGGAAATCGCTGACAACCTCCAGCACCTAAGTCTTG